ACAGGTGTCCACCACCATACCTGGCTAATTTCTGTACTTTTAGTGGAGGTGGGGTTTCACCACATTGACCAGGCTGGTCTTGAACTCCTGACCTCAAGTGATCCGCCCCCCTTGGCCTCCCAAAGCGCTGGGATTACAGGTATAAGCCACCACGCCCTGCCCAGAGTCACGTTTGGTTCAGCCATTTGAGAGTCCTGTGGCCACAGCCATGGTACTTAACTTTTCAGGGCTTCTGTTTCTTCGTCTGTGACATGGGGGCAATAGTGCCTCTGTCTAACATGTTGCAAGACATAAGCGTAGTAAGACACCAGTGTACCTCAGCAAGTGTTGCCCCTTCCCTTCTATTTTCCTCCCCAGGGTCAAATAGCTACTTTGTAAAGTCCCTTATTGGTAACCAGAATATCAACTTCACCACCACTAGGCAAAATAAAGGCAATACTGTCTTTTTGCAAGCCAGAGGGAGATAGGAAGTGGGGATGTGTTGCTTAATGATCTTTTTCTTTGAGACAGGGCCTTGCAGGCTGGAGTGCAGTGGTGCGATAATGGCTCACTACAATCTCTGCCTTCCGGGGCTCAAGTGATCCTTACACCTCAGCCTCCTGAGTGGCTGGGACTACAAGTGTGCGCTGCCATGCCTGGCTAATTTTTTATTTTTTGTAGAGACAGGCTTTCATCATGTTGCCCAGGCTGTTCTCAAACTCCTGAGCTCAAGCAATCCTTCTGCTTCAGCGTTCCAAAGTGCTAGGATTACAGGTATGAGCCACCACACCCAGCTGCTAAATGTATTTAGATGGAGACTTTTTTTTTTAACTAGATGAATGACCCTGTCCTACATACACGGCATCCTTGCAGCTGAGGAAACTCTAATAAGATCTTAAGTTCATTACATTTATTCTTTTTTATAAAATTTGTATTTTAGGTAGGAAAGAGAAGGTGCCGGCAAAATGGATGGATATAATGTCCGAAAGCAAGGCAATTCTGATTACACCTGGATACCTATTGAGACAGAATTGCAATTCAACACTTTAGTTTCCAAAGACAAAGGTGGGAGAAGGGAGGGAGTACAGAGGGCTCTGACTGGATAATTAGTTCACTGATCCACATCTAGTAGATGCTCAATAAATGTTGGTGATGGAGAGCAGTGGTTTACAGAGTTCAGGTCTTGGGTTTGACCTTTGCTGTGGACTTCTTGGCAAATGCAGTGCAAGACACAGTGTTAAAGTGGAAAGAACATCTGACCAGTGGTCTGAAGACCTGCATTAGGTTCCATCTATACCACTTAATAGCCTGGTGACCTTAGACATGCCATTTAATCCCTTGGGTGTCTTCTCACCTGTAAAATGAGGAGACTGGGATGAGGTGATTTGGAAGGTCTCTTTCAGCTCTAAGGTTCTGGGGCTGTAAGTAACTTCATTCACTTGTGTTTCTGTTTCTTCATTTATTCAAAGGCAGTAGGGACAGAAACCTATCTCATAGGGTATTCGGAAGAAATGGTCAGTGTGCATGTTGAAATACTCTGTATCTTTAGAGATATGAAGGAAATGCAGTCAGCCGGAGCTATGTTAACAGAGTGGGAAGCTGAGTATGCCTACAACCTCTGAGTTCCAGGCCCAGCTCAACCACTTTCTGGCTGTGTGATCTTTGGCAAGTCTCCTAATTTATTTCGGTCTCACTTTGCGTATCTGTGAACTGAGGACCGTAAGTTGTGCTATGTTACCCTTCTCACATTCTTTTGAAAGCCAAGACAATAAAAGGCTAAAAAAAAAAAAAATCCTGCAAGGCATCATATAGGCTAGTATAACTGAGAAACAGCATGCTAGTTATGGTTTCATCAAAGCTTAGCAACATGCCTCCCATATTTTCAAATGAATGGATGTGTCAACTGTGACCCCAGAGGAGAAATGGAAAATGTAGACTTGGGGGCCAGATGCGGTGGCTCACGCCTGTAATCCCAGCACTTTGGGAGGCAGAGGCAAGTGGATCACAGGGTCAGGAGTTCAAGACCAGCCTGGGCCAAGATGGTGAAACCTCGTCTCTACTAAAAATACAAAAATTAGCCAGGCACATTGGCATATGCCTGTAATCCCAGCTACTCGGGAGGCTGAGGCAGGAGAATCCCTTGAACCCAGGAGGTGGAGGCTGCAGTGAGCCAAGATTGCACCATTGCACTCCAGCCTGGGTGACAGAGTGAGACGCCATCTCAAAAGAAAAGAAAAGAAAAGATGAAAAATGTAGACTTGGGATCACAACCCCAAGGCTTATTTTCTACTTTAACTTACCTACAGAGGTGAACTTTAGCTAAAATGGGCATTCATAAGTTTCCCAAAGAGTAGGCATCAGGTAATTCCCTCAATGCACTCCAATGTAGAGGATTTTTTCCAGAGGCCAGCTGACAGCTGATGGAGGACTTACTCCCCACCCTCTTCTCCAAAATGAGGCCATTTTGGCATTTAGATATTTGGGGGAATTGGGAGAGGGAGGAAATAGCTTTCTGAGTTTTGAAAGCTTCACATGGCAATAATCACAAACATGTAAAGTGTGTCTGTTGTGTGTAAAAATGTTGAGACACTCTTTGATCCCAGCCTCACCAGAGACTGCTACTGGGGAGGAATGGCAGAAGGCTTCATCCTTCGCACCCAGGGTCTAGCTCAGAATTTTCCTCTGAGTGCCAGGAAGTCCGAGACTGGAAACCAACTCTCCAAGCATTGGCCTCTCCTGTGGCTGCCTAGATGACATTGTGTCACACCTGGCCAGTGACACTGAGAAGCTTCCCCACCCTCTGTGCAGGACACCAACAATAACCCCACCCCAACAACAACCGCACCTCCCTGCGGCATTTCCAGTTTAGCACCTCCATCAGGCACCATTCCCAGAGGAAGAGGATGGGTTTAGCTTGGGAGGCGGGGGAATTTCTCTGGTTGGAGGGTGCAGCGAGGGGCTTGTCATGAAGATGCGTTTTCATAGGAAGCCCACCATTTTTACTCAGATTGTACATATAGGCATATAAGTGATTGAAAATAGCCAAGTTATTTTTAAATAAAGTTATTCTTGTCAATCCTTATTATTTTTGTTTTGTTGGTTTTGCGGGGGCTGATGAAAATTATGAGGGTCTTCTCTCCTGGCTTCCTTCAGGGTCCTACCCGTTGAACCCTCACCAATTCCATCATCCTTTTGCGTGAGATAAAGCTGTAAGTTCCCACTTTCAAACACATATATACGGATTCAATACACTCACTGACTTTCTTTTAAAGAGCTGATTAACTTAAAACCGATTTAATTTTGCTTAGTTTTTGATCGCCCCGCGCCCCCTTTCCCCAGCCTCCCTTTCCCCAGCCTCTATACACACACGTAGGTCAGGGTTCTAAAGCCATTTTACAGGTGTAATTGAAGCAGAGGCCACAGAGGGGCAGCGCTGGGTCCGGAGTGAGACTCGTCATCGGGCTCTGGGGGGCTGCGCAGCTTTGCCTGGACAGATCCCTGGAGCTGCAATTCCTGGGCAGTGTGGGAGGCGTTCGGCTGAAGCTCTTTGTTTCTGCTTTCACGAGCGACTCCTCGGAGAAGACGTGGGAGTTAAGGATGGGGGGCGGCGTGGACGCTGCCCGCCCGCACCCCCTGCCCCCGCTGCCGACCGTGCGAATGTGTGTGTGTCTCCAATGGAAAAACCCTACCTAGAAAGACACCACATCCTTGTTCCCACAAGTAATACCTTCCACGGCTCTCAGGGTTGCGGACCGGCCCTTCGCAAACCAACGCGCCCCGTGGGCTCTCGGTCCCCCGGCTCTGCGTCTCTCCCACCTCCCCACCGCTTGTTCTTTATGCTCTTGTTTCCCCGCGCTGATCGCGAGGCTGCGGGAGAGGATTCCAGGGAGAGGCCTAGTCCGGGGAACAAACGCTTCAGAAGGGTCCCGAAGTGAGGGTTGGGGACAGCCAGTGGGTGGGAAGGAGGGCGCTGGCGCCCGGCGGCCGGGGTGGAGGAGTGGCGGGCGCCCTCCCTCCGCGCAGCGCAGCAGCCGAGCGGTCACGTCCGGAGCGGCCCCCGCGCCCTCCTCGCTCCCACCCCGCGTCCACCCGCGCTGCGCTGGAGTCCGGGGTGTACGAGGAGGGGGCTGTGAGCGGGCAGCGGCGCGGACGCGGAGTCGCGGCAGGGTGCGAGTGAGCGCCTGTGCGCGTGGGAGAGTGGCGGGAGGGGGCCGGGCTCGCAGCCGCAGCGAACCACGGACCCAGTAGCAGAGCCGAGTGCGCCCCCGAGCCGCCACCCGCGGGAGCTGCGAGCGCTGAAGCCATTCATGATTTTGGTGACGTTATTCCAGGAGTGGGCGAGGGAGGGCGGGGCCTCCCGGGCCGAGCTCCGCCCCCGCCCCTATAAATACTGCTTCCCGGGCTCTTTGTGGGGCCGAGAGCTCAGTGGAGAGCTGGGAGTTGTTTCCGCCTCGCTGACGCCGCTGGCCGTGGGGCTGTCCTGGGAAGGCGGACGGCGAACGCCCGGTGCCCGCACTCGGCCGCCTGCCGTGCCCGTCTGCGCCCGTGTCATCCTCGCTCGGGACGCAGGGACAGCTTTTAAATCACAGGGGCGTGGGTCAGCCTCCCCTAGGACTTCATGTCTATATATTTCCCCATTCACTGGTGAGTACCCTGCGCCTGCGTCTCGCGGCGGTGGCTGCGGGCCCGGGCGCCTGCTTCGTGCCGGCTCCGGGTGCGAGGGCAGCCGGCGGCGCGGGCGCTTGGCGCTAACCCGCCGCCCGAGCCAGTGCAGAAGTCAACGTCAAGGTTGCAAAGGTGGGGGTGGGGAGAGGGGGCTGCTGAGAACATCCAGACAAAGGACGTGAACTCGGAGCCCGCACCTAAGTGACGGCCGGAGGGTTTGTATTGGTCGGTGGGGGAGCCAGGGGTCACGTGTGAATCCCCTCAGTGAAACCCCCTCTGCGGAGGGCTGCAGGAGGCGCGCGCCGCCTGGCGCAGGGGGCTCCTGCTCTTCCCGGGCCCCTCCTCTTTTTCTTTTTGTTTGCATGCAAGTCTCGGCGTCGAGGCCGGCTGCAGCGGGGCTGAGCTGCTGCAGCCGCGGGGTTTGCAGAGCTCCGGGGGGTGGGGTGCGGGAAACGCTCTCCCCACACGTAGCCCCGCTAAAGCCACAAGCAGCAGGGCACAGGCTGCAGCCTCTCGACCCCTGCCTTCTCCGTAGCCCCTAAAAACCAATGCACCTTGGTGGGGGCCGGGGCTGGGAGGAGCCGCCTTCGCAGTGCAGAGCTGGAAGGAACCCCGGCCGGGCTCGGGGCGTCGGAGGTTTGCTACGGACTGGGGATCGGAGTCGGGAAGGATGCAGAGAGACCAGGCAGGCCCCTGGCTGCTGGGACTTCCTCACCGGCGGTTTCTTCCTTCCAGCGCTGGGTTAGAAGAGAAGCGGCCGGGGGCGAGCGCTAGCGGCCCCGGAGCGCGCTCTCAGGTGCGGACGTGGGGAGCTCGGCCCCGAGTGGCTGGCAGGCACTGAGCGAAGGGAAAGCGGGCTCAAACCTCGGCGCGGTCCGGCCTGGCCCAGGAAGCGGAAAGTTCATGTTTGTCGCTTCAACTTTTCGGGCCGGCGCCACAGCCCGGAACGAGGATAGAGCGCCCCTAAGTCAGGCTGTTCGCCCTGTGGGCGCTCTTCTGGATCCTTTCTTTGGGGGTCGACAGCAGCGTTTCCAGGACGTGGAGGAAACTACCTTTGCAGGGCCCGGCTCCGGAACCTAAACTTGCCCCAAAGAGCCCCATCTTCTCTTAGTCTCCCTGCCCCCATCCCAGCCTAGCAGTGTTTAGAGAGGGGACTGAACTTCCCTCTCTCAGCAATTCAAGTTCCCCCACCCCTACGCTTGTGTACCCTTCTTGTGGGCGCCCCTCCCTTGCCTCAGCCATAGTGTATGAGCAGCTTGGTGCCTTATTCCAGGTGAGGATTAGAAGGCTGCTGGAGGCTTTGTGCCTTTGACTGCTCCAAATGTGCCAAGGTGCGTGTTTGGGCAGATTAGGCGTATTATGAGAAAGTTAAGGTTTAAGATGATTTTTATCAATTTGCGCTTTGTAGCTTGCAATGCTTTTGTGGAGACATTAGTCCTTAACCTAACTGTGAGGTATGCACTATTAGCATCAGAGTAACAAACAGGACACTTGTGGCTCAGAGAAGTTACAGGACTTGTTCAAGATCACACAGCTCTTGAGGGACAGAGCCTAGAATCGATGGCTTCTGTTTCTAAATCCAGCGTCATTTCTTGTCTATGTAGTAACCTCACACACAATAAAGAGGAATCTGGTACCCCTGTTTCCTTAGATAGCGTCCCTCAAAAAGCCTTCCCCACATTTCTGTTTTAAACCGTGTGCACAGGCACGAATGTGAAAGTATTGGGTGCTGTGTCGTGGGTACCTGGATTTGCTGCGTATGTTCAGCGTTATGTGCATGGGATCCCGTATGTGCCCAGGGCTTGTGCAAGGATAATAGAACATTTGTATCCTGCTTAGAGAGTACAAAGCACTTTCACATGGCAGCCATTGGTGGGCCAGCTTGGCCCCTCTGGAAATTTCCTTTGCAATCAGAGTCCGGTATCCTTAAGGCTTTTAATCCAGGGGATGTTTTTCAAGCTGTGAGCAAGCAGCTGCTATGGCTGGGGCTAGAGAAAGGGGTTGGATGGCAGATGTGAAACTTGCAGAAAAGCTGACCCCTTGGGGCTTTAAGTGGAACATTTTGCCAAAAAGAGCACCAGAGAGACAGACATTTAGGAAAGCCATATGATTGGACTTTTTTCCCTCCAGTTGACCTGTTGTTGTTATTGTATGTTATATAATAACATATAGTTTCACTTTGGAAAATTTATGTGAGGATTATTTTTATTCTTGGTTGGAGAGGTGAAGGGAGATGTGGTTGAATTGGTTTTAATATAGACAGATAGACTCAGCTACCTACTGTTTTGGTTTCTCTAGTTCTGTCATTTAAAAGAACATTCAGGGTCCTTCTGCCCCAGTGGGGGGCTAGAGTACAGGGGAGGAGGGAAGAGGAGGTTTGCCGGAGAGGTCTGCAGACAATGGGCTTTATCCGCTGGGGCTGAGTCCTGGGGCTGTGGGCTTGCAAGGCGCTTCCTCAGGGTGTGAGCTTGTTTTTCTGCAAGTTCTGTTTTGAACACCTCTCATCCTGTCTCCAGACAGTCCCCTGATCCCACAGCAGCGAATGCATGAAGAGTAGGAATGTGAAAGTGAGTGTGTTTGTTGATTTTTGGTCTGGGTTTCTTGGCAGCCCCGACTATCTGAGATCGGCTGAGATGACTGAGGTGATGATGAACACTCCCCCCATGGAGGAGATCGGCCTCAGCCCCCGCAAGGATGGCCTTTCCTACCAGGTAAGTCCTGGCTTCCCTCCGTCTCTCTAGAGCCTGGTAGCTTCTGCTGGGGGTGGGGACAGACTTGGTTTTGCATCCCAGTGCTACTTATAAGAGCTGTGGGACTGTAGCAAAGTCCCCTAATGTCAGTAAGCCTCAGTTTCTTCATCTGTAAAATGGGGCAACAATCATCCTTACCTCCTAAGATTGCGGTAAAGAATTCACTGTGATCAGAGGATGTGTAGAGGGCCTTCCCAGTGTCTGGGACAGAGAAGGAGTCAGCAAGCATTAGCTATTGTGATGAATTAACCCTACTGGTTCTGAACTTTCCCATTCACTGCAGCAAAGGTGGAAGTGATTTGTGCAGTTGATTGATACCAGAACTTTCCTTCCCAGCCATTCCTGGGGCAGTAGAAGCATGGCTGTGCGGGGGCTTCTGCAGAAGGGTGGTCTGGTGGGGATGGCCATGTCCAATGATACTTTCATCCTTGGGATGATGATTGACCAGTTGATTCATAGTTAACATTCAGACCACTTAGGGAGAGATTTCCCCCAAAGGGAGGCTAGCTCAGGGGTGCTATTGCTGGGATCTTGCTTAGAGATCATCCTGTCTGGTGGATCCAAAATGCACGAGGACCACAAAGAGGGACCAGAGTGACCCCGCTGTACTCTTCACCACAGCCCTACCTCTGGCTTTCCCTGCTGCCTCTCTACTGCCCCCAGGCAGTGAGCTGGTTTGGGGTTTTGGAGGAGAGTTCCAATGTAATTAAACTGGGGGGAGGAAGGAGTCTGTTCTTAAGGGAAGACCTTGGGGCTAGGGAAGTTGCATAGGATGGCCAGTCCTGGGAAGTCAAAAGGGAGTGTGATGGATCCGTGCAACATACATGAAGGGCATGCCCATTGTGCGCCAAGCATTCAGACGTTACCTTGCTCATACCTTACCACAGCTCCCAGCTGGGAATCCTCACCCTGTTCACTGATGAGGAAATGTCTCAGCCTGAGTCAGTGACTTGGGTCTGTCTAACCCCAGAGCCTTTTTCTTATGATGTATTGTGTGTCTGAACCATGGCTTGGTTTGGCTTGGGTCTAGGAGGACTCGGGCTGGTAATTCCTTAGGGCTGTACCAAGGGGTACAGCTTATGCCTGTAATCCCAGCACTCTGAGAGGCCAAGGCTGGCAGATCACCTGAGGTTGGGAGTTCAAGACCAGCCTGACCAACATGGAGAAACCCTGTCTCTACTAAAAATACAACATTTAGCTGGGCATGGTGGCACATGCCTGTAATCCCAGCTATTTGAGAGGCTGAGGCAGGAGAATTGCTTGAACCTGAGAGGTGGAGGTTGAGGTGAGCCAAGATCGTGCCATTGCACTCCAGCCTGGGCAGCAAAGCAAAACTCCATCTCAAAAAAAAAAAAAAAAAAAAAAAAGGAAAGGAAAGAAAGAAGGAAGGAAGGGGAGGAAGGGAGGGAAGAGGGAGGGAGGAGGGAAGAACTGTTCCAGGGACATTTATTTGAAAAAGAAAAAAAACAAACAGAAAGCCAGGGAGTTAGGGTGGGTGCCATGGAGGCAGAGTGATCAGATAGAACCAAGCTCAAAAGCTCAGGCAGGAAAACAGAGCTTCAGACACGCTTGGGAGGCCAAGGAGGCCCCTTTGTTTTGCCTAGATTGGCAGGCCCGTCTTGCTGACTGGAAATAAGTAGCCATTTAGCCCGAAGCGGGTGTGCAGGGCAAGGGGGAACTCTCTTTCCGATGTTTGACTTTTCTACCCTCCTTCGCCAGAGTAGGTCTGAGGAAGACAATTGAGGGCCCCCCAGCCTGATGGGAGGGGTAGAAGTTTCCTGGCCCATCAGCCAGGGGGTTTTGGGTAGCAGTTTCCAAGCCCCTGAGTCAGACTGAATCTCTTTGTGGTTACAGGTGAGGTTCTTTCTCGGTTCTGGGTTTTAGATTTCCATCACAGAACCTTTCCAAATGCAGCCATCTGTTCATCTTGTGTGTGCTTTTCATATTTTCCTTTTAAACACATCCCAAGCTAAAGGGCCAGGCCTTACAGGGCAGTTTTCTCAGTGCTTCGAGTCCTTCAGGTCATGATGCTGAACCTGAGGCTCAGGGCAGGTGGTGAGGGAGGAAGGGGCTGGGGGAGGAAAGCCGCGCTGGGGCTACAAGGGCAGGGGGAGAATAAAATCACCTCTGGGCTCCTCACACATCTTTTTTTTTTTTTTTTTCCCCAATACAATTGTTTTATTTAACACACATATGTACACAGGAACATTCAGCAGACATATAATCTATTAAGTAGAATCATTAAGAAATGTCTACTGAGGCAGACATTTTAATTCACTCACTGTACACAGGGAGTTCAATCATTACATTTTCAGACAGGTGTCACGTCATGTCATCTTTTGCTTGTAAATTACCAATGAAACCACATGTGTCTCTACGTATACAAAGACAGGTCCAAATACAGTGCCAATGAAATCAATAGAACATTAAAGGTGTACGCTGGGATAACAATGCAGAGTTTACCTCAGTGCTGAGAAATCTATTTTGCCTGAGCGAAAGATCCTCAAATCTTTCCTTGTGGTGCTGGACTGAAAGCCCAGTTCTCAGAGCCCCCTTTCAGGAAATCTCTTTCTGCTACTTTGGTGGGGACCACTCCCCAGCTCTTAAATAGCTTACTTGGAATTTACAAAGCACTCTTGTCACACTTTTCCACAACTTCTCTGATTTCAGAAAGGTCTCATGGTTGCCTGGCGAAGAGGAAGGGGAGCGACTGTAGTATTTAACCAAGCAATCTCTAGGGGCACTGTCTCTGTGCAGCCTGCCGTGCTGGCCTCTGTGCCCAGGGTCCAGGGCCCTTGTAAGAACCCAGCGTCTACATAGACATCTGGAACACAGGCAGTGCAGTCAGTCCAGTGTGGGACACACACAAGCTACAGCGAGTCCAGATATTGACAGCAACAATGAAGTCCCACCGACAGAATTGGAAGGAAGGCAGACTGGGGCTGTTATTTGAAAGAAAATTAGGACTTTGAGAGGGCAGCTCCAGCTCTAAGGTGATGTTCTTGCACCTTCAGACACCCCTGGGCTCGTCCCTGTTTAAGCCAGGGACAGGGCTGTGCAGTGAGCTGGTCTGACAATTGCGGTGTGACAGATACTCTCTGGGCCCACTCAAAGCTAGTGCCATCCAATTAGATACATTCCCACCAGAGCTCTGGGGATTGGCTAGGACAGACACTTGGCTGGAGCCTCTTCCCTGTGCATGCTTGGGCTCGGCTCAGGGCTGGGGGCAGGGGATCTCGGAGCTCTGTTCTTGGCGTTCCTCCTAAGGATAATAATAGTACGTGGCTCTTACCGAGACCTGCTTTTCTAAGGAACTGAGAGTGGGAAGGAGACATCAGTCCAGACTTGGCAGATGAAATAGAATCTCAGGCTTGTGATTTGACCTTGAAACAAAGTCATCAAACAAACGGCACATTGGACTTTGTCAATCACTTCCCAGCCTTGCAGATATACCAAGAATCGAGAATGATGTTTTCCCGATTTCTCTGTACCAGATGTGACCTTTTAACGCCTGTGGCATTTTGTACTTACCAGCAATGACACGCTGGGCTTCAAGGGTACCGGTCCTGCTTTACATTCTCTTTGTCCAGGTCCTTGAGGGCAGGGGAGGACTTATCTTCATCTTTGTACCCCGCCCCCACCCAAGGTGCCTAAGTGCTATAGCGGGCGGTGGTTGTTTCCATGAACTTGAACCTCCTGATTCTAAAGCTGGCCACCTTCCTTTCTGCCTTAGCCTGTGTAAAGGGTCTGCTCAGGCTCATGCCTAGCAAGGCTTCGGATAGATGCCCTTTTAACCCCCTCAAGATTCAAGCAAGCCCTATCTCCTCTCCTGGTGGCTTGTTTTGTGGTAACATTCATTTGGATTGGCAATTCAGTAAGGGAAATCCACGTGTGTGCATTCACTTAACAGGAATAGTGACACCCTGTGGGGTGGGTGAGTAAATGGTTACTAGAAAGTTATGAGTACATTTTGGGCAGGCAGGCTGTGCGCGGCCAGCTCCCAGCTCGCCAGCTGAGTGGGAGGGTCTCCAGCAGGATGCTGACATCCCTGGTGGCAGCAGCTCCCTTCCCACCTCCATCGAGCCTGTGGAACAGGAATTTCTGCCGCCCAGTGCCTTCTTCCATGGCTTAATTCAAGGAAGCAAGTCAGCGGCTGTTTTCTCAGCTCCAGGGACTCTAAAAATGTAGTGTTAGGGAATGCCTCTGCGACATGGTCTCCTTCCATGCTGCACCTGAACTGGCCTGGGCTCTGTCTGGGGAAGGGTCCTGGGAGTTTGCCTGTGGGCACTGGCACTGCCTTCACCCAAGGGCCCTGGGACCCTGGCCTTGCTACTGTAACTTCCTCACACAGCAGCAGAGGCTGCTACAGTTTCAGCACCCCAGCTAAGGTCTAGATACAGATGTGACTCCTTGATTTTCATTTAAAACTCCCTTCTAAAGCACCTGGACCAAGGTCTGAACACATTATCCCTCCCCAGACTCTAAATTCCTTTAATCAGCACACTCCCTTCCTGGCTGCCCTTTGTATTCCTTCTGCTTTTATTCTTGACGCATCCCCCCACCATTTGATATCCATCTGTCAGTCAGGCAAACATCAGGCTCTCCTCCTCGGGAAAGTGAGAGAGGATGCTCTAGGAGCCAGAAGGAGCAATTTCTTCACACACCATCGTGCTCATGTGTGCCACACATTCCTTTTGATAAACAGAGCTGAGAGGGAGTGATGTCCTGGTGCTTGCGACGGTAGGGAACAGCAGGCGAGGGGGCTGACCTCTCTTCCTTCAGCCTTAGCATTTTTGCGGAGAGGTGTGAAGGACCCTCCGGGTCGACAGCACAGGATCTTTTTCCTCTTTATCTCTCAGGTCCAGACACAGCCACCTCCTTTCTCTCACTCCTTCCCATTGTTTCTTTCCTTCCTTCCTTCCTTCCTTCCCTGCCTCCCTCCCTCCCTTCCTCTCTTCCTC